AGCATGAAAAGCCAACCCTAACTATAGGATTTATCAAAACCTAAATTCTTAAGCCCAGTGTTAAAACTGAACAATGTGTCAGCCTCACGGACAGAAACTGGAAGTTGGTTCTATAAGACAGGAGCCTGATAACTGAAAGATCTTCCTCCCATTCTGCTTTTGCAAATTCTAGGGACCACGAAATGGCCTGCAGTTTGAGAGTGAAGTGCTCTGTTAGGAAAATATGGAACAATAAGATCTGTAATATAAGATGGAGCTAGGTTGTTGAGAGCTTTGTAGGTTAGAAGTAAGATTTTGAATTCTATTCTGGATTTGACAGGGAGCCAATGGAGAGAAACTAAAACTGGAGAAATATGATCTCTCCCACTAACTCCATTTAAGACTCTGGCAGCAGCATTTTGGATCAACTGAAGACGTTTTAAAGAAGTTTTTGGACACCCAGATAACAAACCATTGCAATAGTCCAGTCTAGACGTGACAAATACATGAACCAGTTTTTCTACATCATTTCAATTCAATTCAGTTATACTTTATTAATCCCAAAGGGAAATTATTTGTTGCAGTAACTCGTCATCCTCAGTCATTAAGAGATGTTATAGATGCTGATGGCTGTAGACAGGAAGGATCTCTTGTAAAGGTCCATCCCACAGCGGATCCTAAGAAACTGGCTGCAGATGCCGTCTGATCCGTCCACCCAGACTCAGCTGGCCTCTCGGTTCCCCCGGGCTGTAGGACCGCCTGAATGCCGGTCAGAATTCCTCCCAGAGCGATGGCCACTCCTCCCAGCAGTCTGCCGAGCTCCTCGTCGCTGCGGACAGCCAACTGTAGGTGCCAAGGGATGATCCTGTCCTTCCACTGTCATGAGCCGTGTTTCCTGCTAGTTCCAGGATCTCAGTGGTCAGGCACTCGAGCACAGCTGGCAGGTAGATGAGAATGCGTCCACAGAACATCCTTTTCAACTCATTTGAGATTTGGGGCTGTAGCTGAGATATTATTTGAGCTTTTGAGATGTTAATCAGCTGCTGTTGGTTGTAGAAAACTGCCTTGTTGCCATGGTTACGCATCATTACAAATGTCCAAAACAAAAAAAAGTTTCAGTAAAAATCCTTCCAGCTGCACAGCGTCTGATACCAGAGGAAACAATCATCCACAAAATGTGATTTACATCCAGAAAAAGAGGAATTAAAGTTTCCAAAAGCAAAATCTCAGAGTGAAAGTAACAGAGCTGCTCCAACATGCAGCCACCTTGAGAAGCGCAATTTTAGAATTTTTTGATGTTTCTAATTTTAGTGATATCACGCAGGTGGAAGAAGGCGGTTCTAATAGCATTTTTAATGTGGGGGATAAAAAACATGTCCTGATCAAAAATAACACCAAGATTTTTAACACTAAAGCTGGAGGACAGATTAATGCCATCTAAGGAGGGAGAAAGACTGAAAAATGAATTTTTATGGTGCTCGGGTCCAAAAGCCAAAACCTCAGTCTTGTCTGTGTTCAACAGGAGAAAATTAAGGGTCATCCAGGTTTTTATGTCTTTAAGACGTGCTTGTAGTCTAAGTAGCTGATTGGATTCATTGAGTTTAATGGACAAATATAATTGTGTGTCATCAGCATAACAATGAAAATGTATCCTATGATGTTTAATAACTTTATCTAATGGAAGCATATATAAGATAAAGAGTATTGGTCCAAGCACTGAACCTTCAGGAACTCCATGACTAACTTTGGTGTATGAAGAAGATTCATTATTTACCAACAGAGTCCATGTTCAATGATCCAGGTATACAATCCAACAATTTTCAGTCGGATCATCTGGACAGGTTTTTTTTTTTTTTGGGGGGGGGTGGGTGGGGGGTTGTGCAGAAACGTTTCACCTTCCATCCAGAAGGCTTCATCAGTCAAGGAAACACACAACACAAAACTGATTCTTCCCCAACAGCTTACTCCAAAGTGGAACAAACCAGTTATGTTGGTGCTAAGATGGTCTCTTTGTCATGCCCCCTCCTCCGGTGCCAGCCCTCTTCCTCGCTGACAGTCATGTCAAACTGGTTCAAAACCAACAAAGTCCATGCTCAATAATCCAGGTATACAATCCAACAATTTTCAGTCAGATCATCTGGACAGTTTCTTTTTTTTTTTTTTTTGTGCTGAAACGTTTCACCTCAGTTTTGTAATGTTTGTTTCCATAACTGATGAAGCCTTCTGGATGGAAGGTGAAACGTTTCAGCACAAAAAAAGAAACTGTCCAGATGACCTGACTGAAAATTGTTGGATTCATTATTTACATTTACAAATGGGACTCTATCAGATAGATATGATTTAAACCAATTAATAGCCATTCCTGTAATTCCAACATGATATTCAAGCCTCTGTAGTAGAATATTATGATCAACTGTATCAAATGCAGCACTGAGGTCTAACAGGACCAGTATAAACACCTGTCCATTGTCAGAGACCATGAGAATATCATTAGTAACTTTCACCAGTGCAGATTCAGGGCTGTGGTGAGTTCTAAACCCTGACTGAAACTCTTCAAACAGATATGAGAGCTCTAATGTTTGCAACCTTGTTGATAAAAAAAAACTCAAGAAGTTTTCACACACTTCATCTGAGTTCTCCAGGCTGGCTGATTGTGGGGCATTAAGAACAGAGTTGCCATTACTAGAACTAGTACTCACTTTAACTTCATGCTTTATACTGTAGCTGTTTTTGTTTAGTTTTTCTATTGTTTCTTCTATTTACTTTTCATTTTACATGATTGTCTAGTGGTGTCTGTACCTCATCTGTGTTCTTTGTTAAAAACAGGTCTTCTTGTAAATGAGTCCTCGAGGCTCAGTGAGACTAACCTGTATAAATAAAGGTCGAATGATGGTTTTAAAAAGCACGCATGGATTGTTAGAGTTGGAGGAAATGATGTCAGAGAAATGTTTGGGTTTTTTGCAGCTCTGACAGTGGACTGATAGAAACGCCAGCTGTCCCTCAGTGCCTGGAAAGACAACTGTAACTTGTCCTTCTTCCATTTTCACTCTGCTCTCCTGCACTGGTGTCTGGCAGCACATGTGACGTCATCAGTCCAGGGGTCAGGCTTCGGTCTGGAAGCTTTTATTTTTAATGGGGCCATAGCATCTAAAACATTTTGACAAGCTGCGTTAAAATGAGAGGAGAGAGCCTCATCTGAACAAGGACCCACAGGATCCCTGGAGCTGACAGAACTAAAAGCAGCAGTGGAGAAGTTAATGACCCGGCAGGACAGCAGGAGCACGAGGTTTGACTGAGTGACACGTCAATACTGTGATCCCTCTTTCAGTGTGTCTACTTGAGTTCCTCTCCTAAAAACACACCTATAATCATTGACATTTGACACAGGGTGATCGGATTTAGATTTAGTTGTTTTTTTTAATTGATTCTGATTGTGTTTATGCTTTTTGTTTTAGTTAACACACGGTCATCTGATCTGATTTAGTATTTCTTTCTTTCTGACCGAGTTGATGCTTTTTTGTTATTATTCCGTGACTTTTGACACAGGGTGGTATGATTTAGTAAGTCATTGTTTCTAATTATATGTTGTGTTTTATATTTTTATTCCATGTGCTGTAAATATATCTTGTTACTTTGTATTTGATGCTGTGATCTTTTTGTTAAGCACTTTATAAATCTGACTTGATGTGAGTTCCTGCCTTGGACCCTGGACCTACCCCAAACACTTGGACCCTCCAGATGTTCTCCTGCTCTCGCATGCCTCTTGTGATTTACTGGATCATCTCTCTTGGATTGTTTCTGGTTGGAACCAAGGATGGACCTAACACCACCACCTGTAAGGAACTGCACATTCATGCTAGGACTGTGTGTTGCCTGAGACCAGATATTAATGACACCTCCTTCCCCACAGGGATCCAGTCTCCTGTTGTTGCCACTGTAAATAAATTCACTGAACTTATCTTATTGTGTCGAGCGTTCGTTCTCTGATCATATGACAGATGTGAAGATTGTTCTTTTTGCACCAGCTCTCCAGATGTTCCACCTCCTGCCTGTAGCTGGACTCATTGTTTGTGATAGATCCAAACACTTTCACCTCCACAGTCAAGTTTATTGTGCCCTGACTCTGTGCACATCACATCATCAATCAGATCAGATGTACTACAGTACATTTGTACTTTAATATACAGTATATAATTTTGCCTCTCTGAAATATGCAATAGTGGATCATTTTCCTCAACAAATAAATGCCAAAATATAAATTGTCTCATTTGTTTAATTTGGTTCTTTTTATCTATTTTTAGGACTTGTGTGAAAAGTTGAAGCTTTAGGTCATTTATGCAGAAATATAGAAGATTTTGAAGAGTTCACAAACTTTCAAGCACCACTGTACGTTAAAACACTCAGAGTAGTTACTTTTGTGGAAAAGATTTAAATCATATATACTGTCAGTATTTTGGAGGTATAAGACATTGTGTTTTAGAGGCAGGGAATGTAATTATTTACAAAGTTATTATGAAGAACAGTGAATTAATTGGTGCACAGCAAATTCTGACTTTTAGAAGTGAAACTGGACTTTCAGTCAGAGGTACAGTTTTTGTTCTATTTTCCTGAATTAAAAACGTTTTAGGAATTAAAATTAAAGTCTTCTATGTGTTAAGGTGACTCCAACCTGGAGATCTGTGAGCGAGGCTGCAGGGAGGATTAGGGTTAGTGTGAAGTTTGCGCACCTGAAGACATGAAAACGATCAGAGCTGCTTTTATACTGACAGGAAGACAACTGGAACTGAAATGTCATTTTAAATATAAAATGTATGTCAGTAAGTTATTACCTGGTATAAAAACCAAATGATTCCTCTCCACCTGTAGGTACATTTCATACAAATATAATTTCAATCCCACTGGAACTCTTAATGTTCAGTCTCTTCTCCTTTACAACAGAAGATGGCGCCGGTTGGACGTGATGCTGAGCTGGGCCTCAGTAACTTGTGGCTTTAGCAGGAAAAAAAAAAAAAACCATCCCTGAGCTGTGCGTGCGTGGGCCCCAGCTGAGCACAGAGTGATGAAGCTTGGTGCCAAGCTTCCCTCTGCAGTGAGCTGACTGGGAGTGTTTGGGTGTCGGGACTGGAAAGGCGTGGCAGTGGGCTGAACCTGGAGGATGGGGGGGAGAAACACCCACAGGGTCCATTGACCTGGTACCAGCTGAGGCCCAGGAGCTGGTGGTAGAACCTGGACTGTCTGAATCTCCACCTGCTCCGTCTGGACACGCTCCGGTCTGTGGGTGTGCCACACCGCGCGCACGGAGCTGAGGTGAGATCCGTGTTCAGTTTGATCAAAACGGCGATTTAGAAAACACTGGGCGTTGTACGGTGTCCTCCTGGCGCGTGCGTGTGTGCGCGTGTGCGCGCCGTTTCCCGACAAATCGTGTGAGATGTTGTTGTGTCCGGCTGGCTCCCTCCCTGTTCTCCACCCGGAGAGAAGAAAGCGCTCGGCTCTCTCGCGCACCAGCTCGTGTCGCGCGCTTGTGCTGTGCTTCAGAGACTGTCTGTGATGTCGGCGCTTCCGCCCTGCTGTGCATGGCGGGGTTGTGTCATTGTTCGGGGCTCCTGCGGTCCAGCACGGATCCTGTCCGTGTCCGAGCCGCGGTGGGAGACTGTGCACGCGCTCTTTACAGAAGCGCAAACCGAGCCTTTGCGTGATTCTTCTGTCCCTTAAAACGATCTGCTGCTGGACTCGGCCTCCAGAGCTGGGAGCCATTAGCTGGTGCTGATGCTGCAGCTCCAGTGTTGCTAGGCAGCCATGCAGCGCGCGCGCCGCCCTCCGGATGAGGAATGTGATCTTTTTGTGTTGTTCACATGAGTCAGTGTTAGATGAAGTCAGAGCTTTGTTCTGTGTCACTGGGGACACATAAAGCACAAAAGAATGACTTCAAATGTCCTTGTCTAAAGATGAATTTAAAGGATTATTTTGGAGTGTGGTTCTTTGTTATACCTAGTAAAGAATATCTTACCCGTTGCAGATGGACTTTTGAACTGCCTCAGTTCAAACTAGACGGATGATTTAACAGCTAGTCTGAACACAGCCAAGACCTTACTGGTGCTGACCTAAAACAACTCCAGTCTCCAGAAGTTCACAGCAGATCACACAAAAGCTGTTTGATTAACACCACCACCAGACTGTATGCGGGTTAGTACACATAACGATGTGGTTATTAGTCAGAGCGAATGCAGCAGTGAGCTGTGGCAGTCCTGGTGCAGGCTGGGATCAAAACAGGCAAGAACTGTGTAACATTTCTGCTGAAATCAACTTGTAATACAAAACTGATGTCGGTGTTAAGGTTTTAATCTTGAAGCTTGGAGCATTTTTGAAGATGGCAAATTCTGCTTTGGAATTTTTTATTTTATTTATTTATTTATTTTTTGTGTGGGTGGGTGGGGGGGGGGGGGGTGACTTTGTTTATGGCAGCGTTTGGACTCACTGATCATTGGTCCAGTCAGAGTTCATCTCTGTCTACGAACTGAGTCATGAAATTACAACATTAACTACTGATGCACTTCAAAATGGCTAAACTCGATTTTCAGGTTAGTGGTGTTTTATTGAAATATGAAACAAAGAAAAAGAAACAATTCTGTAAAGTGCAGTTTGTCAGAGTTGTGGCATTTAGTTCCTGTAGTTAAAGCACAGAAGCGGCTCCGTATTTAAATAGACTCAGTCACTCTGCTTTGCCTCGGCCTCCATTTCATTTAATCCTTAAAGTGATTTTTACTTTGGTATTACTTATTTATATTTAGCACACTTTGGTGAGATGAAAGTCCTCTCCCTTTAAAGAGCATTCAGATGCTGGAATTTGTTGCTGCAAACTAAAAAATATTATATTAATGGATTGTGCCGTCAGTTATCACCTCACATGGATTCCATTTCTCTCTATTAAATGTTCTATATTTGACTCAGTTTAACTAAATAAATGAAACATGCCTGTTTGAGAATATATACAATTCAGGTTGTGTGTTGCTTTCATTTTATCTTTGAAATAAATTTAATTATATGGAAGAATATTCTAACGTTTTTTTTGTAAGGTAAAAATTAAACTGGGATTATTATACTTCAGAAAATGTACTAGTGAAGACTTTCTCACAGTACTTTAACAAAATATTTAGGTTCCCAGTGTAAAATGTACAAACAAGGTGCAAAGACCCGGGAGTTGAAGTACGAGTTCTTAAAATGAAAATCAAAAATAATTTCTCCTGATTTTTAAAAAAAGATATTTGTAACAACGTGGTGGTCTGTGGCCTGCCATTAAGATCCTGTTTTACTGTCAATGATGAAGCAGTCACAAAATATTTTTGCCTGTGGCAGATGCTGTTTGATGGACTAGTTTAAGCCCAATCAACATGTTTCAGGTAACCAAATATTTTACTGCATTATCTTGACCTAAAGCATTCATTCATTCATTCATTCATTCATTCATTCATTCATTCAACCTTTATTTATACAGGTTAGTCTCACTAAGCCCCAGGACTCATTTACAAGAGACCTGTTTTAAACAAAGAACACAGATGAGGAACAAACAACAATAGACAATCATATAAAAACATATAAAATTAAAAGTAAATAAAATAAATGATATAAAAACTTAACAGAAATAGCTGCATTATAAAGCAATGTAAAATACTAAAACCAGGAACATGTCTGTGTTGATTAATGCCATGAACTACTTAGTTGTTTGAAATCCCTTAGAGAGGTCAAGGTCGAGAACTTCAGATCTTTTTGCAAGGTGTTCCAGGAAACAGGAGCAGAGTAGAAGGTCTTTTTGCAAAGTTAGGTCCACACTGAGGGGACACTGCATGTAACAATGTCCTGAGAGTGCACGCTGTAGCTGCACTCACACAGAGACATGTAGGAGGAGATGTATGAAGGCAGCAGACCAAGAAGTGATTTAAAGATGAAAATGTACCAGTGAGAGAGTCTGTTGAAGTTAATGATGTCCAGTTAACCAGTGAATACAGGGTGCAGTGGTGAGTACTGTAGTTACAGCCAGTTACGAATCTTAGTGCACCGTTGTAGACAGCGTCCAACATCTGCAGGGTGCTTGTAGGGGCACTCATGTAAATAATGTCACCATAGTCAATGGAGAGGAGGAATGTAGCTGTTGCAAGGTGTTTCCTAGTGTTCAGAGTTAAACAGGATCTCCATCCATCCATTATCTTTACCCGTTTATTCCATTTTGGGTCACGGGGGTCGCTGGTGCCCATGTCCAGCAATCACTGTGCGAGGGGCGGGGTACACCCTGGACAGGTCGCAAGTCCATCACAGGGCCACATAGAGACAAACGAGACAAACAACCATTCACTCTCTCACTCACACCTAGGGACAATTTAGAGTTACCAATCAGCCTAACATGCATGTTTTTGGTCTGTGGGAGGAAACCGGAGCACCCGTAGAAAACCCACGCATGCACGGAGAGAACATGCAAACTCCACCCAGAAGGCACCTGGACCGGGGTTTGAACCAGGGACCTGTTCGCTGAGAGGCAGCAGCTCTACCAGTTGTGCCACCGTGCTGCCCTAGACAGGATCTGTTTCTGAAAAAAGAAATCCAGTTTTATTTTCAGTTTCTTTACCAAGACATGATGCTTAAAAGAGAGATGTGAATCAACCAAGATACTCACGTCTTTGTAAAAATCAACAAACTCAATAGGAACACCATTTGTAGATGAGATAGAAGGAAGGATCACTGGTAACGACTTCCTGTTTGAAAACAACATCCCTATGGTTTTATCAACACTTAGGACAATTAAGAGACAGAACAAATCTGACTGGATGATGTCAAATGCAGACTGTAAGAGTTGAAAAAACTTAGAAACGGTTTTAGATCGACAATAAACAACTTTATCATCAGCATAGAAATGTAAGGATGCATCAGGGATGCTCTGACCTACATTACCTATGTAGATTGTAATGAGGGTGGGTCCTAAGACTGAGCCTTGTGGGGCACCATTGTTGACATTTAGATAGCTGGAAGAAGACCATTATGTTGAACACATTACCTCCGATCTGAAAGATAGGTAGAGAACAAATCAATGGTGTGATCTGAGAAACCAATTTCTGAGAGCTTATGACACAAGATGTTATGATCCACAGTGTTGAAAGCTTTAGACAGGTCTAAGAGAAGTGCAGCACAATAATCCTTCACATCCAGTGCTTCAACAACGTCATTAAGAACCTTCAGTGAAACAGTCATTGTTCTGTGTTGTTTCCTGAAACCAGAATGATGACGAGGTAAGATGTTAAATGAATCCAAATAAATCTTGACTTGAGTGTTTATTATTTTTTCTAAAACATTAGCTAAAATACAGAGTTTAGAGATTGGTCGATAGTTGTTCAATTTAGTGGGGTCTCCTCTCTTCACGATGTGTGATGTAACGTTTCGTGATGAATGTTAAACTCTTCATCACAATGGTTTAAATCATCTGTTTAATTATACGCGGATTATTTGGATTATTGTAATATCTTCATTGACTGTGTATAATGAATGGGTGCACTACAAGGATGAACTTTGCAAACGTTGGTATTCAGATTGTATGCTGATGATCTCCGGCTGTTAAATGTTTAATGTTGCTGTAAGGCAAAAACTTTGTACAAACAAATGCAACTTGTTGGAAAATGAAAAATATGTATTTATTTTTAAAATAAATTAGCTTTGTGTGGTCACAAAGCACAATCTCTCTTTGACACAACACTTTTGGGTGAACAATCGAGTTGATTCATGCCAAAACACAAAAATAGTGAAAAATGGAGATACAAGGCTTTTGCCTGACAGCAATGATATGCAGATGACACATTCTTATATGTACATGGGGACAATGCTCAATATAGGGCTGGTAATTTGTTACTTATAAAATATACATTTTTAGTTTGGCCTAAATCTTCACGCCTAACACTGAATGTTGAGACAACTGTGAGTGTCCTGATGCATGCTCAACTGTGAGTGTGTTTCACAACAAAGTGTAACTCAAGAACTTTCCCATTTCTTTGTGTAAATGGTCAAAAATCGACAAAATGCTTAAAATGTTCAGCACAAATGTGAACACATGTTGAAATATTATACAACTAGCTTCTGACACGTTACAAATTCACTTTCAGAGGAAACTTCAGTTGAGTATTTGAATGCACTGGTTTTTATTTACCATCAATTGCTAGTCAGCTTCAAACACACTCGACCAGAAATAGCTGCAGTATGTTCAGTGTAATATATCCACTTAACAAAAAATGTTTAGTTGGGATCATTTAACCATGCACCCAGAAGCCCAT